AAGAGAGCCAAGGGGACTGAAGTTCGGGGTTGGGTGGGTCTGAGGAAGAGGCTCAGCCTTCTATGGGGGTCTGAAGGAGGAGGCACGAACCTGCCTCAGGGATCTGAGGGGCATGGCTCCAGTCCTGGAGCAGCCACTGGAGCCCTGGGGAACCTCAGGGCTCCCCTGCCCAGCACCCCCACCTGTCTCCACCACCTCGCCTCCCAACCCCCTGCCCGTGGGTGCACGGAGGCAGCAGTAACACAGCCGCGGGAGGGAAATCGCTTCCCTCTGGAATCTCCCGGTGGAAAAGGCACTGTGTGGGACAGGGCAGGCTGTGCATACCGATGGTGGCCAACGGCTGGTCCCAGCAGGGGCAGGCAGAGCAGCCCCCACACACTGTCTGGCAAGGTGCCCCGTGCTTCTGCAGGCCCTCACGACACGGAGGGAGGGACGGAGGGTCGGAGGGGCCCCTGTGCACATGAACGGTGGTCCCTGAGGCCCTGGCTGGGAGCAGGTGGGGGCTCCTGGGGGTCCCGGGCCCAGAATGCACAGGGGCCCAAGGGACTGGTGCAGGAGTGTCCCCAGGCCAGTGTGTGGGATTCTGCATCCACGTGTGTCCACACTTGTCTATGTTGGGGGAGTCTCCCTGTACCATGCGACTGCCCCTTGGTCTGGCCTCTAGGGGCCCCAACCTGTGGGCGAGAGGAGAGGTGAAGAACCAAAGAGATGGGACAAAAGGGCGTGGTGCGTGTGGCTGCTTGGCCAGGAGGCCAGGAGGGGACATCATTTGACCTGAGGCCTGAAGGAGCCATGGCCTGCCGGAAGGGCCTACCAGGCTGGGCGAACAGCATGTGCCAAGGCCGCAGGTGGGAACAAAACTTACTTTTGTACTTAGCTCCCAAGGTCACCTTTTGTATTACGACTTTGTGTCAGAAGTAGCAAACTCATCACAATACCTACAAAGTGGAAACCGCCCGGATGTCTGTCCACCAGAACTGGGTGGGCGGGGCACGCAGTATTAGCCATAAGAGGCGAAGCTCGGACACGCATACGTGGAGGAACCTTGAAGACGTGCTGCTCAGAGAGAAAACCCAGACATTGTACGACCCCACGGCTGTGACGCAACCAGAGAGACAGAGAGTGGGGTCGGCGGCTGCCAGGGGCAGGGGTGGGGAGGCAAGCCTGCTGCTGGACTCGGGATGCCCCCCTTGAGAGACAAAACTATTCTAAACCTGTGGGGAGGGCTGCACAGCTGTGAATGCACTACACAGCCCGGGCCGGGACATGGAACAGTAAATTATATGATATGTGCATCCTGTCTCAATAAATGTTTATTTAAAATCTAGTCAGGGGACAGTGGGCTTCTGTGAAGGCTGACACAAAGTTTGGGAACAGCTAAGGGTGACTGTCCAACGACATGATGAATGTCATTAATGTCACTGAACTGGACATGTGAGGACTGTTGAAATGGCAAATATTTTCTTACAAAAATAGATACATATACCAGAACCGCTGGGTGGTAAGGCAGACCATGAAAGTGATTGGTTGCTCACCCGAAGGGGAGCGGTTCAAGGCCACCCAGAGGCACTTGGGAGAAGGGGCTGGTTATCTACTTCTGAGAAATCAAAGGCTCCACAGAGCTCAGCTCTGCCCTGCTTTTTTATATGCACTCACTGCCATGACCAAACTCATGGCCCTGGGTTCGGTCCCGACTCACAGCGACCCCTCCTGGGGTTTCCGAGGAACTAGGCTGCCCAACCTTCCTTCCGAGGAGTGGCTGGTGGGTTTGAACCACCAGCCTTCTGGTTAGCAGTCAAGTGCCTTAGGCACTACCCTACCAGAGCTCCTTTATATGTACTACAATTAAAAAACATAACAACAACTAAGTCAACCTCAGCTGCTGCGCCTCTGCCCCACCATCCCTGCGCCTATTCACTTCCGGTCCCCTGTGCCCTGGGGCTGGGCTGGAGTGGTCAGACATGGGGTAGAAGGTGAGTGGGCACCGCAACGTGCCTCCCGGATACTGACGGGTCACTTCCCTTTCAGAGCCTCATTGGTGGAGGGGGGTCCAGACTCCCTGCCTCCCAGCATTCAGCATGGCATCTACCATCAGTCTGTCCATCCGCCGCCAGGCAGGGGCAGGACAGGCACACACAGGGGTCTTTGTACGGCTCCCTGGCCTCATTAGGAGGCAGCCTCCGTCAGCAGGCCCGGCACGACTGAATTAATTAGCTCTGAGTCTTCCTTCCCCGCCAAGTGTGTCCTGGACGCTGGAGTCGCCGCGGGTGCAACACGGGGGATGGCTGGTCGAGAAGACCTCAGTCGGCCAGCCCTGCCGGAGAGGCCCAGGCTCTCTGTGCCTCAGTTTCCCCCAATCTGGGGCTGGGCAAGGGGTGAAGGCGCCCAGAACCCACAGATGCACAGATGCACCTTTTGGAGAAAACAGATGGTGATGAGTCAACAGAACCATGGGGGGCTGTGGGGGCTGCGGAGGGGAGGGCAGGCAGAGTCACACAGCGGCCAAGGTCGGCCAAGCTGCTTCCGGTTGGATTCTGAGAGGCTGATCGAGCCTGAGAGGCCTGAGCATGGACCAGGGGTCCGCCAGCTCACCACCATGCTCAGGTGTGTCCCCGTGCTGGGCACTTCCTAAGCACCAGCTGTGTACCTGGAGCTGGCTGAGCACCAACCCCGTCTTCTCCCTCCACCTACCCAGGGCCAGGTGGTTCCTTCCATCCAAGAGGGAAAACCAAGGCTCCTGGGAGCCTCCAGGTGCTGTTAAGTGCCTGCCCCCAAACAGTGCACAGAACCAGACCCAATCCCAACAGTCGGTTCCTTTTGGGGACCTAATGTGAATTACATCAATAAATTAGGAAAAAAAAAAAAAGTTTAGGGACCCTTGCCTTTTTTTTTCTTTTAATGGAAAAATTTGAAAATGGATAGGGTGATGGTTGGAACAACAGGACGGACATGTCACTGTCAGGTGCCATTGAGTGGATTCTGACTCACAGCGCCCCTAGAGGACAGAATGGAACTGCCCCACATGGTTTCCACAGCCGTCAATCTTTATGAAAGCAAAGCCCAAACCAAGCCCATTGCTGTGGAGTCGATTTTGACCCACAACGCCCCTAGAGGACAGAGTGGAACAGCCCCACAGGGTTTCCAAGGCTGTCATTTTTATGAGGGCAGATCACCAGGCCTTTCTTCTGTGGCATCGCTGCATGGGTTCAAACCGTCAACCTTGCAGTTAGGAGTGGAGTGCTTAAGCACTGCGTCATCAGGCTCCTTAAGGATACCATAATCCATTGCTCTCAGGTAGATTCCAACTCATAGCAACCCACGCGTTACAGATAACTGCCGTCCCACAGGGTAATCTTCACAGGCCTGTAATCTCTACGGCGCAGATTGCCAGAGCTGCCGGTGGGTCTGAACCACCAACGTTTACGTTAGCAACTGAGTGCTTAGCCAATGTGCCACCAAGGTTTATGAAGAACACACACAAAACAAACTCACTGCCACTGAGTCAATTCCGACTCACAGCGACTCCTTTTGTGTTTCCGAAGTGGTTAATCTTTATGGAAGTAGATTGCCCAGTCTTCCACAGAGTGGCTGGTGGGTTTAAACCACCAACCTTCTGGTTAGCAGTCAAATGCCTTAGGAATTAGCCCACTGGAGCTCCTTTATGCTAAACATAATCCCCAGGAATTCCTCAAAATGAGCCCCCCCCAGAAGAGCCCAGGCCCGTCTCCATTAACTCTAAACACTTGCCCAACCCAAACAGAGACACGTGCCTTTGAGGTTTATGCTCATTTTATTATAAAAAAATACAGAATCCAAAGTTGATTGTGGGGGGAGAGGAGGCCCTGCTGCCAGCTCCAGGCGTGGCCACGTCGCCCACCCATGCTGACCCCTACAAAAGCCCTCCGCCCGCCCGCACCACCTGGTGTGCCTTGAGCTTTGTCCCGGCGCCATACACAATATATATTTATATATAATATATATAAAACACAGAGGCAGGAAAGGGGTAGAAACAGGAAATCTGTATAAATGAGCTGTTCCTTCAGGGAGGGGTTCCTCTATTTGGTGGTGGCCCCTTCTCTTTTGTCCTTTTTCTTCTTTTCTTACAAACATGAATAGGTCGGAGAGTAGAGGGAGGGGGTCTCTGACAGACGGGACAGCTTTATTGCGAGGTGCAGCTTCTACTCTAAAAAGTCCATCCCCAGCCCCCCACCAAAATAAAAGTCCCCTTTAAGGGGGTTGACCAAAAAACAAAAAAGTTTCAGTCCATCCTCCAGAATACATTAAAAATAAATCACAGTATATACTCGCTGGCTCTATTTACAGAAACGTAACGTCTTCTTGGTCTTGGCATCGACCGTGCCAGGCTGGGGGGGGGGGCCTTGTTTGCATTGGCCAAAGCGGTTTATAAGATGTGGAGCACTGTGATTCCAAGGGGGCCCAGGGCTCGACGGTGGTACCTTTGGTGAGATGTGGTAGGTTTCCACTCTGGGAGATGGTCACCAGGAGCCAGGGGCTGGGAGTGGGGCTCAGGGGACGGGAGCTGGACCAGGATCAGGTGGGAAGATTCCGAGGGCACCTGGGGGTCCACGGTGGGCTCAAGCCAGTCCCAGAGAGAAGCAGCCTAACTGGGAGTCCCCTGACTCCCCTCTGGCAGGGGGCCAGGGACCCGTCCCCAACTCTCTTTCCTTCCAAAGTCACCGGTGACAGCAAGGAATAAATTAAATTAAAAACTTAAGTCTCTCCAATCCAACCATGAAAAACACACACACAAACAAGAAGTGAAAACGTTGCCAAGGGGCCCGCAGGCGCCCCCGTGAGGAGACGGCTTGGCTGGGGCGGCGCCCGCCCCCTGGCCGTGCAAGCATCAGTGGGGCCTCAGCTGCCACCCCACGCTGGTCCTGGGGTGGGTGGGGGCCCCTGCCCCGCAGGGCAGCACCAGAAGAGAAGCCTTCTCTATTTGGTCTCGGAGGTGGGGCTGGCGTCCGTGGGCGGGGCCACCTCTAGGAGCCCAGGAAGGTCCAGAGCATGGGGACGGTGCTAAGGAAGAGGTGGCAGCCGCCCAGGCCGCTGCAGGAGTTATTGCTGGTGAAAATGGGCTCGGGGGCCTCGTACAGGCTCTCGTCTGCGGGGGACGCAGAGACGGGGTGGTCAGGGTCACTGCCCGGCCTCAGGGCACACGTCTGTGCACTGGGTGACTGTCTCCCTAAGGCAGCTGTTCTGTGCCCTGCTTCTCCCCAGAGCTCACCATGACCACCATCTAATGCCCATGATAATCAGACCATCCCCCCCACGAGAAGGGGCGCCACGGGGTTTCCCCACACTTGGCTAGACAGAGTTGCGGGGGTACAGCCTCAGTGCAGGGCCTGGACTTTAACCTTCACCCTTCAAGGTCTGAAACATGGCCCTGATTTGCAGATTGAAAAACTGAGGCTGAGGGGGTAGGGCCTATCCCAGTCATTGCTGAGGCTAGGGGACCCCCGAGGCCAGGCTCTAACCATCCCCACCCCCACCAACTCACTGGGCTCTGTGGACACAGGGTGGGCCTGGACCCTGAGCACTTACTGGTTGGCCGTACATAAACCTTCAGCCTTAGGCAGGGCCGGTCCACGGCATTGGGGGGTGTGGCAGCTGGAAGAGAAGTGACTGTGGTTAGCAGGGCAGTGGGCTCTGTATGCCCAGGAACTCCTACAGCTGCACCTCTGCTCCGTTCCCATGTCGGTGACCCAATTGATTCCAGTCATACATCAAAGCCCCAGATACAAAGTCCCGTCTTTCCCACCAGTCCACGTGCACACTCTTCCTGTCCTTCCCTCTGTCCAGCCCTAATGCCAGATACTGGGAGAGTTTCTATCCAGCTTCATCCCACCCCAGGGCAGCACAGGGTGGGGCTGAGAGGTGGTTAAGAAAAATACCCTGCTTGTTTTCAATCAGCAAAAAATCAGTGTAGACAAATGATTGCCTCTGGAATGAGAAGACCTGGGTGCGAGTCCCTGCTCTCTGGGTGCCTCTAGGCCTCCCTGGGCAACTTAGAAGGTGCTGGACATGATGGTTTCCACCTGTGGGGCACAGTGAGCCGCTGCCCCTGGGAGAGACGCAGATTCTTGAGGTTGCATGTGGAAGCAGAAGCCACAGTGGATTCTCTGCCTAAAATTCACCATCACAGCTCCCTGCTTCCTGGTCCATGTGACAAGCGTCCGGGGGGCGGGGGGGCACTGCCCTCAGTGGCAGTGACCGGAGAGGAGGGAAGGAGATATGGGGATCGCAACAGGGAGGAGAGAGGAGGCCTGGAGGTCGGCTGGGTCGGCAGGACATGGCACACGAGGACATGAGCAGGCAGGCCCGTGTCCACACATGGACATATCTCTCCGGCCTGTCCCTGCCAGGCCCAGGGTCTCTGACGGCCTGGCTCTTGGTAGCTGCCACCCCTGCCTGCCCCCAGAAACCCCTGCAGCTGGGAGATGAAGATAAAGAGCCCGTAATAAAAATAACATTCGTCACAGAGATAGGACGAATAATGACAATAATTATCTTTATGAAACTCCCGTCTCAGAGAGAAAAATGTAATTTTTCTTATATTATGGGGACTTAATTTAAACACCTTCTCCCAGCTCTCCCACCCGCCTCTTCCCTGAATTAAAAGGAAAAATCCAAATAGGGCACAGAAAGAAGGAAATGGAGCTTTGTAAAGTTTAATTTCACACAGTGGGAGCCGAGGTGGCGAGCGTAAGGGCCTCCACGCCGCCTCCCAACGGGACCTTGACATGTCGAGAAACAGAGAACCCCCCAGCCATGGGGATCCCCTGGACTCCCAGTGCCAGGCACTGAGCCTGTGACCAGGATGGACTGCTCCTGCCAGGGGCCAATGACACCCTTGCATGGGTGAACTGTGTCCCCCAAAAGATCAGCGAAGTCCAAAGCTTGCTCACTGTGAACGTGACCTTGGTTGGAAATAGGGCCCTTGCAGATGCCGTTACTAGTTAAAGGAGGCCACGCTGGCTTAGGGTGGGTCCCAAATCTTGATGAAGGGTGTCCTTATCAAAGAGGAGAGACATAGGGCCAATGCCATGTCAGGACGCAGCACAGGACAAGGAACCCCAGGGCCACCGGAAGCTGGGGAGGCCGACTCTGGTCTCCAGGACTGGACGAGAATACATTCACGTCTCCCCACGCCACCCAGCCATGGTTCCTTGTTGTGACAGCCGCAGGACACTCAGGTAGCTGCCATCAACCTCACCTCAGGGGGAGGACACTGCATTCCCAGCTGAGGTTCACAGAGAGCAAAGAAGTGCCCAAGGTCACAGGCAAGCGGGGGACTCGAACCCAGGTGGCCTCTGTCTGACATTTTACTGGAATCGCCCCAGATGGAGTAACAAACAGGGCCACCTGCCCCTGCCCAGCCCACTGTAGCGTGATGCACACTTGGGGAGGGTCACCACTAATAGACCTGGAAATTAAGACTCCCTAGTTCACATAGGAGGAGCTCTGGTAGCACAGTGCCTAAAGCACTTGACTGCTAACCAGAAGGCTGATAGTTCAAACCCCCCAGCCACTCCTCGGAAGGAAGATGGGGCAATCTACTTGTGTAGTGATACTTCCTTGGAAACCCAAGGAGGGGTCGCTATGAGTCAGATCAACTGGACAGCAGTGAGTTTGGTATTTGTTTCTCAGTTTAGTTCACAAAAGGGAGCTCTGGTGGCATAGTGCCTAAGGAATCTGACTGCTAACCAGAAGGTTGGCGGTTCAAACCCCCCAGCCACTCCACAGAAGGAAGACTGGGAAATCTATTTCCATAAAGATTTACTGCCTCGGAAACCCAAAGTGAGTCACTATGAGTCAGAATCAACTCGATGGCAGCGAGTTTGGGTTTTTGGGTTTTTTTAGTTCAAGTAACAAGAAGTTTTCAGGGACTCGGAAGCCCGTGTATACCCAAGGAGATGGGCGGCAGGCAGGTGCAGGAGGCCGGTCCCTGTCCAACTGCAGACTCTGCCCCTACACCCTGGCTTTGAACATGCCCCCTTCCGTGCCACCAGTTCTGCTCGCTTGTGCCCTACCTCGTAGCGGTGCAGGTCTCACTGTTGGGGATGAGGTGGCAGTGTGGGGGCAAGCTGGGGCTGGAGGCAGGCTCAGACCCAGCACAGGCTCCAATGGAGAGAGTCCCAGACCTCTCGCAGGGGACAGGCCCTGGGTGGCTCCTATGTTCCTAGCTCTATCTCTCTGCTCCGCAAGGTCCCCTGTCCCCCTGTCGCCTACCCTGTCCTCATTCTCCAGGTGTCATCCACCATCTAGGTCTCCTGTCCTGGTCCCCTGGGACCCTGCCACAGCCTGGTCCACCCTGGCCCCCCAACAGGTTCCTCATCCCCGGGGGCTCTCCACCCAGTCCAGCCCACCCTATGCAGCCAGGCCTGCCTCCCCGGCCCCCGCGCCCACACCCCGGCGGTGTAGTACTCGGGCCGCCCCCACTCACAGATGTAGTAGTACTCGTGGCCCGGGCGGAACTCGAAGCCCAGTGAGAAGGGCGTGAAGAGCTGGAACTTCTCGGAAAACTTGAGCGGGCCGCCAGGCGCTGCAGGCCGGTTGCACTCCCAGCGCTTGAAGCCGCGCTGCCGGTGGTCGCAGGAGGCGTGGCCCTCGCCGTTGACCATGTACAGCACATAGCGTTCCATGCGCTCGGCCGGGGGCAGCGGCGCGCCGTAGTGCGGGCAGTAGATGTCCAGGTAGTCGTTGATGCTCACCTCCACCGTGTAGCTGCCGCCGCCGCCGTCCGCCGCGCTCGCCTGGAACCTGCGGGCCAGGGAATCGGTCAGCTGCGGGGTCAGCGGGCGAGGGGGAGCCCCGGGGTGAGGGGCGGGTCAGTGGGAGGGGCCACGAGTCGGTTGGGGTGGTGGGAGGGGCCATGGGTGGGGGGGTCAGAGGGAGGGGTCACAGCGGGGGGGGGGACCAGGAAAAGGGGTCAAGGGAGGAGGCCAGGTGTCCCACTTCCTCCTGGCAAGCTCTGCCCAACCCTCCCTCTCAGTTTCCCCGCAGGGGGCGGGGCTTGGAGTGCAGGACGCCCTAGCCCCTCCCTCCCTAGCCCCCCAGTTACAAGCCCAGAGGTGAACACTCCTCCGCCCCCTACCTCCTCCTTCCACCCTACCCCCATTTAGCTCAGAGGAGCCCTGGGTTCGAATCCCAGCCCCACCCCTCTCATCCCATAGGACCCCAGCAAATCCCCCAGACCTGAGCCTCCAACCTCTCGGATCCCCTGTCCTGACTGCCCCGCCTCCCAGGCCTCTGCCCTGCGGTGTCCTCTCCTGCCACGCTCTCCCCCAGGATTGTCACGCAGCCTCCTCGTCCCTTCCTCGGGGGAGCCCCCTGACCCCAGCCTCGTTGGGCAAGAACGGAGGTCAGAAGAGGGAGCGATCGCAGCTCCCCTGCCATCACCGCCTGGGGCTACAGCCAACGAGTCCTTAGATCTGCAGGACGCGGGTCTCCCGGGTCTCTGTCACATAAACGATGCCAGGCCGAGGGGGCACGAGGGAGACCCAAGAGGGGCTTATTAGCACATAAAAGGCCCATCAGAGGACTGGGAAGAAGTGTGAGGGGTGCCCCATGCCTCCCCTGCCTCCCCTGCCTCCTTCCTCCCTGCACAGGTGGGGTAAACTGAGGCCAGCAAGGGATGGGGGTGGCAGTGCCCATGCCAATGTGCTCACTGGCTCTGGGCGCAGTGGCACTCAACGGGGTGGCTAGATTTTCAGATGGCATCATTGGCCCACCCCCCCATCTCCAGACTCTATAGGCAGGGCAAGGGCTCCTGGGTCATGGGGGTGGGGAAACAGCCAGCAGGAACCCCTGCCCTGCTCTTCTGTGCCTTGGTTTCCCCCTTGGTCACAGGGGCCTGCCGGAGTGTGTGACTGAATGAAGAACTGCCGGTCAGAGGGCTGGAGGGAGCACTTTCGCTCCTCAGCCCCAGGGCCATCCTGACCTGTTGGATCCGGCCCTGTCCTCCCATGTGAGCCAAGCACAGAGGACTTTGAAGAAGACATGTCCCTCGAGTGGCACCCAGGGCCGCAGAGTCTGTACTCAGCCCAGGCTTGAGCCCCACTGGGTCCAGAGGCTCCCGCTCTTCTCCGGGACTCTCTGCGAGAGGGTGCCTTAAGGCTCTGGGGAGAGCCGCTGTTGTGTACACTGGGGCAGGCCTGGGGCAGGCCGGACAGAGACAGGCCAGACAGGGACACGCCCAGACCCAGGACAGACCTGAATAGGGGCAGGTTGAACAGGGACAGGCTGGACCGGGACAGGCTCTGGCGCTATCCTTCCCCGGAACTGACCTCCAAGCAGGCCTCGCCAACTCTCCGACCTTCCCATCCTCAAGCCCAGGGGCTGATGGATACAAAGCACCACCAAGCTCTTTCAAAGGCCGGTCTCCTGGGCCTCCCGCCCTGGTGAAAGCCCCAGCACTGATGCACTGCGTAGGCTGGGACCCTGCACCAAGTCAGCCCTGAGGGGAGGCTATGACTGGGAGCCAGGGGTAGGGCCGAGGCACCTCTGCCCTCCCCCCACCCTCTGAGGGCTTGGGTTTCCCCTAGAATTGCTGAGAAGCAGCCCAGAGATCCACACCTGGCCGGAGAGAGGGCGTTCTGGTGCTCAGCTGAGCCTCTCTGGGCAGAATACACTCCGCAGGCCCCACTGCCCCTCCTCCACTCCCACAGGTCTCTGCTCCTGGCTCCACCTTATGGCCAGCTCTCCTCCCACCTGCCACTGACCCAGGTCACTTCTCTGCCCATCACACAGCTAGGCTGCTTTCTGTTCCGGAGGGCAGACACCTAGCTGGGCTCTGGGCTCCCCAACTCTGGGCTCCCTTTTCCAGCTATCAGCCAGACCCTCCGTAGCATCTCAGAATAAAACGCACTACCTCCCCATGCCCAGGCAGCCTGTGTAGCTTGGTCGCCCCGCCCCAGAGCCCCCCAGCTCCCCTTCCAGACACGTTTGCACCCAGGGCCTTTGCACCTGCTGTTACTATCTCCCCTCCACCTCACCACAGGCTTCTCCACCTGACAGGACCAGACCTGTATTTAGACCTTTAAGGGTGGCTTTACAGCCTCCCCAGGCCTTGAGGGCTGGGTGGGGCGGGCCTCCTTCTCCACCCCTTCCTCATGCCCCACACAGACCCCTGTATGCAGTGGTGCAGTGCTTGAAGTGCTCAACACCTGGTTGTTGACCAAACACATGAACTAAAAAGGTCAAAGGTCTGAGGTCTTTGAGATGCCAGAGCAGTGGGAAGTGAAATGAGCCCCCAGGTGTGGGGGGAGGCAAGGACCCAGACAGGTGGGTTCCAGAGGACACCCCTCCGGCCCATGCAGGCCTCTTTTCCTTTCCCAGCTCTAAAACAGCACTGGCCTTGATGCGTTGGCATTCCAGGCTCCAAGCTGGAGGGCACACTGGGACGGACGCCTCGCCCCTGCTCAGGGTGGCGCCTATGTGGGGCAGGGGGCCCCAACCCCAAAACTGAGCCCTCAGTGAAAGGAAGACAAAGCCTGCATTCGATTAGTGCTGAAGCCTGAATATGCAAATGCTCGGTGGGAGAGAGAGATAGAGATCGCAATTCTCACTAAGGGGTTAATGACTGATTTGGGAGCTTTCCCAGACAGAGGCTCCACAGCCCGGCTCCTACACCTCCCAGCCCTGAACTGCCATTCTCTCATTCCCTCGTTCCCTCAGTTGGCCCATCCCTCAGTTGGCCCACCTTTGCCAATGTCTACTCCTCCAGGCAGCCCTCCCAGCCCTGCAAGGCCTCTAGACTTGCACTGGCTAGGCCACCTCTACCCTACCCCTAGCCCCTCCCGCTGCCTCCCAGCCTGAAGCTAATTAGCTCTAATCCTCGATTGCCAAGTCTTTAGACATTAATAGCAAAGCAACTAATTAGAAGTCTCACCCAAAACTGCCCTGGGGGTGGGCGGTGCCGCCTTCCCAGTTGGGAAACTGAGGCAGGGCGGGGCAGGCAGCCGCAGTCCTCAGCCCACAGCCCACGTCACTCTGTGCCTTATCGCCCACTGGCCTGCGTCCTAGCATGTCTCTCCTCTAAAGGGGTCTGAGACCTCTACAAAGGTCCCAGGGTCCCGAGGCCCAGCGCAGGGCTCACTGAGCCCCTCCCACTGCCCATCAAAGACCCCTGCCCCTCAACTCCTCCTCCGGGTTTTTAAGAGACCGAGAAGGCATCTCTCGCATAAGGCCTGGCCTCCTTTCTCCCGCTGACAGACTGGGCGTGGTCAGCCAGGAAAGACCACGATGGGCTCCTGGGTGTAGGAGGGTAAACCGAGGCAGGGCCCCAGAGTCACAGCAAGAGAAAAAAAAAGGAGATCCAAAGGGCAGCAGGGGCCTGTCCAGCGAGGCGTGCTGGCTACGGAGTCCGCAGGGCGTGCCTGGCCGTGGCCGTGGCTGTGGGCATGGCCAGCCACACCCCACTCCCCGTAATGCTCCCAGCATCTTGGCCAGCCCCAAACACAGCTGCTTCTAGGGGAGATGGGCACACCCCGGGCAGGGGTCCTTTCTCTCTCAGGGTCTCAGACGTTCTGCCTGGCGGCACTGAACACAGGGAGGGCAGATGGGATCGGGGAGCAATGAATGAAGTCCCTGGAAGTCAAGGTCCCAGGCCGGATGGGGACTGCGGGCACTAGGGCACCTGGCGCTGAGCCCCTGGGCTGGGCCGGGCAGCGTTCAGAGGTCTGACTGACACAAACCCCGCAGCTGCTGCACAGGCTGTTACCGCCTCTGAGCCGTGTGACCGGAGTGGGGGGCAAACCCGAGCTCTCCCACCCTGACCACTGCTGGGAAAGTAAGACCTCAAAGGAACAACCTGGGGTGGGCTCGGCCAGGGTCCTGAGGAGGGGAGGGTGCAGGAAACGCAGCACAACGCAGACCGGGCACAGCGGCAGGGAGCTCAGGGCTGAGGAGGGCCCGTGGACCTACAGCCTGTCAGCCTGTCGTCAGCAACGTCTGACTCCCAGACTACCATCAGTGCACACGTTGCCAAGGATGACCCCAAACCCTGAGGGCTGTGCAGGCCCTTACAGACACCCGCAGGGACGTTCCTGGGCTGGGGCAGGTCACTGGGACAGTCAACTCTCCATCCCCCGGGACCCCAGTCCCAGAGATAGGTTGAGGTCAAATCCCAGCTGCGCCATCAACTCTAAGGGACCCTCACATGTGCCTCAGTTTCTTCATCTGCAAACTGGGAGCAGTGCATCTGCCCAGAGTGGGGTTGGGGAGGGAGAAAGGTGGGGGGCAGGGAGGAGGAGCCCCTGGCGGACCCAAGGAGGGACAGAGACAGAGGACCCCCCCAGCCCCAGGAACCCTGGCACAACCTTTGCAGGTGTGCTCAGGACTGGGGCATCAGACCCAGGATGGGGGGGCTGAGGGCCCTGCAGAAGGAGGGTCTCAGGAGTCCCCAGTGCAGCCTCCCACACGTGGGCTACTGTTCTCCAGCCTGTGCTGGGCTCCGATGCCACTGTCACAGGGACACGCGGGACACCGGCTGCTATGGGCCCCTCCCCTCACACACTGGAGCTGCCTTGGTTTCCCTGCTCAGCGCAGTGGTCCCTAAGCCCCTAGTTCCATACCCATATCCCGCTCCATCTACACCCGGCCCACCGCCTTCCGCTGAGAGGCACGACGTGCCAAACCCGCAGTGGAGCTGCCCCAGCCTCACTTCCGAGCAGACACGGTGCTGGCAGCCAAGATGCCCACCCAAGGCCACAACAGGTTACCCGAACACCCGAGTCCGAGCCCAGACTCCCCACAGCCCCATGCCTCCCAGGTCCAGCTCGCCTCACTCTACAAGCCCTCCAAGCTGGGTGGATGGGTGTCTTTCAAACAAAACAAAAAAACCCTCCCAGGTAAAACCCAGCCACGCCCCCAGGAAGCCAGCTCCCCTGAGAGGCCAACCAGGCAGGGAGCCCCAGGGCCCAATGCCCCATCTCCTCTGCCACGAGGAACGAACGTCCCTCGAATGTCCCTCCCATGGGGACCAGCCCAGCCCTAGTCGCCATTTTCCTACCCAGCTTTTGGAGAGCAAGATGCAGCCATGCATACCCAGGAGAGATGCAGCCTGGCAGTGGGGGGCAGGGGGTGCGGAGATGGGGACGGGCGCCAAGTCCAGCACCCCTACCTGGCCAAACCACGGGTCCACGCAGACTGCGGGTTCCAATCAGAAGGTGGGGACACAGACTCAGGAGGACAGTAAGTACCTATCTTGGTGACTGTTCGGGACCTGGGTGGCCCCTCTGTACCTCAGGTGGCTGACTGCACAGAGCCTGTCTCCCGGGAGGCATCAGGAGGGGTGGTAGTGGAGCCAGCAGGGACTAGGGCACGGCCACCACCCCCATGACCATTCTGGGGCCGCTGCTGCACACCCAGACCCCCGCGTGCATGATGGCCACATTCATGCAGACCACCGCATGCACCCCACGTAAGGACACAAGCAGCCATACATGTGCATACCACACAGACATGTTCATGCAGCCACACACGTACCCCATGCAGACCTATACATGCAGACACATGTGCGTGCACAGACATGCACATGTACCTCACATGCAGACACACAAACACATGTGTACCCCACACCCGCAGATACACACATGTACTCTATGTACGAATATATGTGCACATGTGTGTATGCCACTCACCCACAGAGAAACACACATGCACCTTGCACACAAGCACACAGACACAGGTGGCACCAGGGTCGGGTGTGCATATGCAACCTGCCCCCCACACACATGTGAGCTGTACCACACAAACGCCTCACAGGGCCCCCAGGACACCCTTGGAGCCTGCACACAGGTTTGCAGGCATGCACACAGCAACATGCAGTCACGGGTGAGGACACACCCTGTGGCCAAAGTGACACCCCCCATCACGGATGAGCACATAGCCCCACTCTCAGCCCAGTGGCCGGGCAGGTAGCAGCCAGTGACCCCCGCCCAGCCCAGCCACAGGGACATCCCAGGACACTCGGATGGACAGACGGCCGGACGACAGAACACGGCTTGGTTGGGGGTCAGGTGGCTGGGCTGGCCGTGCCCTGCCCGTCCCCACCACAGCTGTGGGTGGGTGCAGGGCTCCCTTGGTGCCAGAGCTGGCCCGTGTGTGCAGGAAATACATTTCACAGCAGGGAGAGTGTAATTTGGGAAAAATGGCCACGTACTTACAACCTCCGTACAGGTACCAGGCCCAGCCCGGGCGGCCGGCCAGCACGGCGAGAGGAGGGTGGGTGGCCGCGCTGCAAAGCTGCCTCTGCCTGCCCTGATGCGGCCTGTGTGCCCCCAACTCGAGCGTGCCACCTCTGGCCCCTTCCTCCATTCTGTGTCTTTTGTGTGTGTCCTCTCGGCACGGGTCCGTTTGTCCCTGCGTTTCCCTCCACGTCGCCCTTGCCCATCCCCAATCTCTCTGCCCTGGTTGCACCCTGGTCTCTCATCTCCAATCCACATCCTCCCTGCCTGGCCCCCCATCCTACACCTCTCCCCCAAGCCCCCATCCTCGTGACCGGATGCCCCACCTCCCGAGAAATCCCCATCCCAGGTCCTCTCAGATGCCGAGGCCCAGCACCCATCCCCCTCTTGTGCCTAACACAGACCCCATCGCTGGCGACAGGTCTACTGTCCCAGGCAACAAATCTGAGTGGTGCCCAGGCCATCGAGCCCCCCTTCAGCAGAGCCCCCAACCTCGGGGTTGAACGGGGCCCAGATTGTGGATAGAGCCCAGCTTTGTGGGTGAGGTTCTCGCCCGTTCGCGGGGTGCCGGGGACATTCCCCTCCAACTAGGACACTCCAGACAGGAGGAGAACAAGGAGGAGAAGGGTAAGGGAAAGTCCCGAGGGCTACCAGAGCCTGCTCCGGGACAAGCAAGGCCGTCCCCTCGGGCAGGTGGCTGGCACAGGGCTGTCCAGTCAGCATCAAGCACCAGGAGGTGACCGAGTGGCCGGCTGAGCAGACACTGGGGGCCGCCTCCCTCCCCAGCCGGTGGTCCCGCAGCCGAAGACCCTGTGGCAGGTGGGTACAGCCAGCAGCCCTGTCGACCCCTGTCCTTCTCACTGCTCAGGGTTCCTCTCCATTCGCCATCTGCCAGAACAAAGGGCAGGCCACGCCAGGGACCGGGATTCCAGAGCTGGAACCGAAAACTTGGGCCGGGGAAGTGCTGCCCGCTGGCTCCCGCGCGGCCAGCGACAGGGAAGCACCTTAATCAAACCCACATGTGACCGGCGGGCGGCTGCAGTACAGGACCAGCTCCACAGTGGCCCAGCCGTCTCTCTGCGATGATCTGGGGTCCCTACCCTCAGCCTCCGGACTCAACCCCGTGGCTCAGTGATGGGGGGGTCCCGCGTGCTCCCCACCCCCACAGCGGGGACACCGCTGCCCTTGTCCGGCAGCCTGCCTCAAGGATGGCCCATTTATGCAACTTTCTGCCTGCGGCTCAGGATGGAGGCTCCGGATGGACGCAGCTCGGCGAGCGCAGGCAGGAAGCGGCTGGACAACTGAGAACGGCCACCGGTGCTGGCCCAGGGGCCAGGAGCTGGGGAGCCAGATGCCGGGGCCACCGACGTGCCGCCCAGCCAGCCAGCGTGGGCAGACAGATGTCGTGTTCCTGAATGCTCGACTGACCCCCAAGCTGCAAGACCCTGCAATCCCTTTCTCCCACGGGACCCCCAGCCCTGAAGCCTCTGAGCCCCGGCATGACCCAGTGGGCTGGTGGGTGTCTGGGACTGGTCAGTTCCCAGAAAACTTTTCTCTCCATGATGAACGGGGGCTCCAGCTAGCCCCCAAAATGCACCCAATGCCGGGTACAGACCCGGGCTGAAACCCAGGGGTTGGGGTACAGGCAGGCAGGGTGCAGCGGCTGGGTGTGGCAGGCTGGCTATCAGGCTGCCTGGGTCCTGGCCCACCTCTGCTCGCCTGGCTGTGACCTTGAGTCAGCCCCTCAGCCTCTCTGCGCCTCAGTTTCCCCATCAGTGGTGGGAAGACAGGAGAGGGCACCACCGCTGAGCCCTCTGGAGTTGGCCCCCACCCCCTCTGTGCCTCAGTCTCCCTGTCAGTGGAGAGTGGGACTGGGGACCCCTTGGAGTTAGCGTGGGGCCTCAGGGAGGGACATTCCAACTTCCTCAACTTTGTCCAGGAAACAGCGGGCAAGACTTGCCTCAGAACCTCCGCCCAAGGGCCACAGTCCCCCATCTCCGGGGGGCAGCTCCTTGCCAAGATGCCTGAGGTCCCTACCAACTCCAAAGACGCCGGGAGTCCCTGGGGAGGCTTGTGGACATGGGTCCGCCAAGCCCGAGAAGGAAGCCCAAGGACCCCACAGCTTCTGCGGGATAAGAAGGGTCCCCGAACTCCAGGGCATAGCCGTGCTCAGGAGATGTGGGGCGCCAGGCCCCCCAACTGTGCATGGTGGCAGGAGGCGGGACGTTACGGAGGATGCACGAGGAGCGCAAGTCCCCCAAACTCCTGGGAGCCCAACTCCCTAGGGGGTTCCCACGGGAGCCGGCGTCCCCATCCCGGGCAGTGCCAGCCGGAGCCCTGGGGCGCTGCAAGGGCACCCCGAGCTCGGGGCCGGGAGGCCCGGTCGGCAGTGCCCGGTCCCCGGGGCCCCGGGCGCCGACGCGCTCACCTGGGGTTGCTGCGGTTCCAGTAGACAGCGTAGCGGTCCGAGTTGGCGCGGGTGGCGTCCTCGGCGCGCGCTAGGGGCGGCGGCGGCGGCAGCCGCAGCAGCAGCAGA